ATCAAAACCTCCTTCAGTTTTACTAATAGTCAAGGAAACCTTGTTCTAACATAGGGGGGAAAGTTCTCTATCAGTGTATTTTTAATATCAAAGCTCAGTCTTTAGAAGGACATAAATAATTCCCTTCTAATTATAGCCAACTTAATCACACGCAATATTCTTTCACAAATTCACCCTTCATGAACCATGATTACAACTAACTCAGACATTTCCATGACATTTTAGACTTTCTGTTTTGTCCTATACTTCCTCTTCGCTAAATAATGAGTCATTTCACTTTAGGACAAAAATTTACTACACAAGATTCTTTTTCATACAAATTATTCTCTTTTCTTTTTAACCTTTCTTACCAAAAATACATCTTTATACCCACAACTTTCTTCATATTCCCCCCTTCTTTACTTACTGATCCCTTTCTATCATGTTTCTATTTCCTTCCTAAATTTACTTTGTTGAACCAACCTTAAATAACCTCTGAATTTAAACAAAATAAAGAACACATTTTTATATCTTACAATTTTTCTAGTAAAAAACACAACTTATTTTTGGTATACTTTGTATACAGAATTACATACATTAATTAGGCTTTTAACTCTTAGTAATCTTAATCTAGGAAGCAAGCAATTTTGAACTATCTGTTACAAATAAGTATTTTATAGATGAGAACCGTTTTATAATTTTAAAAACACATTTTCCCATAACCTTAATTTTTTATATATGTTAATAGACCCAAATATGTTTAGCCTTTTTATAAAATTTAAAAGCCAAGAACAAATTTATATTTATATTAAGCCTATTTATGTTTTAATTTTTTTATCCTATTTGGAAATGACTCAGACATTTAATGAGTATCTGTCATTCAATTAATGAACTTAACCTTAAGATTTTAAATTACATGAAAAGTTTATTTGTAAACATTTATTCCATTTACATTTACCTAATTTATTTATTTTTTAACAATTATACCTAGATTATTTATGAAAACTGAGATGTCAGACAAGTCTACTCATCATTTTAAGTTATTTCCCGGTTAACCATTTTTCATAGCCTTTGAATATCAGGTGTTCACTTTAAAGTTAAAAATATGGGCTTTTTGCTGATAACTCAGAAGCTACAGCAATTTTCATTAAGCCAACAATATTAAATTAGTCTCACTTATCAAAGAATTACATAATCAAAGATGATTTTGTTTTAGGCTCAGTTTATAGTTTTATGACCTGAAAACCTCTAGCAGAGACAAATATTGTTCTGTCTGACCAATAAACCCAGGCACAAATGTAGTTGATCGTTTTGAAGACATTTCTATTTTTACTTTATCAACAAATTTAAAACGAGCTTATTTATTAAAGATGTACTCAAGTCACATTAACTAAAAAGTCTTTGGGTTAATTACTACATAATTTAGCAAAGAAAAAAATTTTTTTTCTTCAATTGAGCACTCATTTATCTAAGCCTATTTCAAAAATATTCCTTCAGGGGGCCGACCCGGTGGCGCACTGCTACAGTGCGCCGCTTGGGAGCGCGGCGGCGCTCCCGCTGAGGGTTTGGATCCCACATACAGACCGGTTCCGCTCACTGGCTGGGCGAGGTGCAGGCGCGACACCGAGGGTTACGATCCCGTTGCCGGTCCCGGTCCGGTACGGGCGCGACACTGAGGGTTGCGATCCGTTGCCGGACATGATAAAAGACAAAAAGGAAAAGAAAAAAATATTCCTTCAGGGATTTCTGGCTGACCATACAGGAGTTTACCGTGTACACACAACATACAACATAATTAATCTACATATGTGTAAACATACCTGAGCACGTATACATACACACAAATAAGACCTTATTGCTCTTATTTTTTAGTCATGAGATAGGAATACAAACTCACCAGTTTATAAAAGATACTTAGATCTAAATTTTTTTTAGAACAAATGGGACCTTTTCACATGGATACACTTTATTTGCCCCAATAGATAATCTAGTGAAGACAGTTGAACCAGATTTTGAGTAAGCCAGTTTTTATAGCAGTTTGATTTTTAAAGAAAAACATTTTACCTTCTTTTTTTTTTTTCCTTTATTTTTAAGTGAGTTTAGGGTTAAATTTTCAATGTTTACATTTTAGCTAGAACTGGCTGAACAAGTTTTTCTTTTGTTTGTTGGTCTGGTTTGTTTGACCATCTATGCGGGTGGGTCACTTTTTAAAAAGCTATTATGATTATTATTATTTCCTTAGGCTCTTTCTAGCCCATGCGTGGCAACCAAAGCAATTCTTATGTTGGACAGAGATACCTTATATTATTGCTCAGAGCTCAAGATTTTTACCTGTTGGAACTGAGAACCCAACTTTTGTAGATAGTTACCTAGTTATTTTTTTTCTCATTTTGTCTGAAATATCACAAACAGTGAATTTTATCTGAACACCTACAGAAGAGTCAGCATTCAAAGTAGGAAAAAAAAAATAGAGAGAGAGAGAACTTAACCCTACTTTATATATTTGGCCTCTGATTTTTTTTAGGTCAATATTCCTGGTGACCAGAAAGGGTTAATCCTATAGTTGCAGTCTCTTAATTTGGTACTAAGAAAAAAAGAAAAACTTGGAAAGTTTGAATGATTCTCGTGGTGGCCATCGATCTAAAACCATGCATGAGGAAATTTGGTAGGCCTTAGAGAATATCATTGCGTCTAGTTCTAAAGCCAGCTTTTTAAAAAAAAAATAATGCACACAAGTATACTAATTTAGGAATTTTTAAAGACCCCAATTTTGACCATAGGCAGATCCAAAATTGCAGTTGACAAAAGACAGCTGTAACTTTAAAGCATGCTGTGGAATTCTTGGCCAAAAAGTGCAACTACTGGTACCTGCCCTGCCAACTGCAACCCAAATCTCCTGCTGTGCATGAGGAGTAGAGAGGCAAAATAATAAATAAAAATAAAAACCCTACTTTGCTGATACCCATGACCCAAGCTTCCTGCTGTGTAGAGGAGGCAAAGCAGAAAAGAAGGACTTTGAGAGGAATTCCTCCTACCCAAGAACAGAAATAGTGGAGCTGCCAAACCCATAACCTGAATCTCCCGCCATAGCAGAAGTGGAAATGACAGTTACCTTCACTGGAGTCTCCTGTGGGTGGAGATGGAAAACCCTTGCTTTTAAAAGGGTCAAAACAGCCCAAGTAAAGTCCAGCAGACATCAGCCAAAACAAGGGAGGTCCGAAATCCAGGGCAGACTCAATCTATGCACCCAGCGAAGCCTCTAGAGTTGGAGGACTCAAAGGGCCCTTTGCCAGAACCTAGTGCCAAATTCAAGAGGAACTCAGGGTGGTCAGGGGAGGCACTCTGGATCCTTTCATGGTCACCAGGAATGTTGACCTAAAAAATAAATTGAGGCCAAATATATAAAGTAGAGTTTATTTGGGAACAGAACATTGCAATGGGAATATGTGTATCATAGTAAACTATGTGCATATAAAAATATGTGCATTTAAAGGCGAAAGAAAAAAGTAATTTGTTTTGAAACAAACAAAGCATTGGTTACAGGGGCTTACCCAAGGAATTGACACCAATTCTTTAGTGGAGACAATGTCAGGCAAAAGGATTCTTGTACATAGACTAGCTGTCCTTGTGGCTCATGTAGCAAGTTGCAATTTGAAAAGTCCTTGGGGAAGGTTTTTGTCATAGGCATATGTGTGTAAGAATCTTTGTAGTGGTTCTTATCATAGGCATGTAGGTGTGAGTGCCCTCCCTTCTCAGCCTCCTAGCTTCATTTTTTAATTTTTGTTAGAGTTTAACACACATGACTCCATTCTGGTTCTGACAACTTTCACAGATCTCAAAGACCAGGCTCTCGGCTATACTGATTCTCACTGGAGACTGTCAGTTATAGAGTGAGGGTCAGCTGAGAAAACAAAGAAGCAAGGCACACCAGAACCTTGTCTGCTGACAGAACATAATGCTCCAAGGCTCCAAATCCCAAATCTCTATGGGATTATTGCTGTGTGATGTTTCCACACAGTGCTGGACTGGAAAGTATGAGGCTGGATTCTGATTCTGACTGTCACTAGGTAGCTTTGTGACCTTTGCCTCCTCAGGCTTCAATTTCTTCTCCATAAAATAGGGTTGCACTACATGATTTCTAAAACTCTTTGAAGCTCTTTCCCCAGCCTTAAGTGGCCTCATCCAGAAATGCTGAAATCCTCAGGCCAGTATTCCCAGTATCTGGTTGCACCTATGTTCCCTTGGGATCTGACTTTTCATCAAGGTCAACATTATTGCCTTCAAAGGACGTATTTTCATTTTGATGGTGCTAGTGATATTTGAAAAGAAGGATATTGAAAGAGAGGTGAGTCTGACTGAGGAAGATGATAATGTCCAGGTTGGTGTCCAAGTTGATTCTTCATAGACAGTCCAGACCAAGATAGAGTCTGAT